TATATATATATATATATATATACACATGATTTGTCCCAAAAGTATAAATGAGACTAATTTTGGAAAAACCGATTTCTTGAAAATACACTTATTATTTTTTAAAGTAGGATTCTTGAACGTCAATACAGCGGTTCGAGCGTTGCTGTCACTCTTCGTATAGCAGCGCAGAAAGTCTTAACCTTTTTAATCGTTCCAACAGTTTTAGGACGATTAAAAAAGTCCAAGCAGCCGCGACGAATGCTCTGGAAGGCATGTCCGGTCAAAGTTTTCTGCGCTGCTACGAAGAGTGGCAGCAACGCTGGAACCGCTGTATTGACGCGCTCAAGGAGTTTGAAAAATAATAAGTGTATTTTCAAGAAACCTTTTTCCAGAATTAGTCTCATTTATATACTTTTGGGACAGACCATGTATATATATGATCTATTATCTCACCTTTTTACTGTGATATTTCTCATTTTTTTAAATTTGTCGACATGTATGTATTCATATGCATTTTTCAGTTAAAACAATCTAAATCAATCGTTAAACTCTCTTTCCATGCGCAAATCCTTCGTTTTCATTTCCTTATTATATGCCAAATTGATCTATCAATCAGTACAAACAAAAGCATATGTAAATATTTTACATGTTCATTTTTCCTTTCTTACTCTCTCTCTCTCTCTCTCAAAATTGAGATTTCTGCTCTTAAAAGCGCAACTGCGATGATGACTCCTCCACAGACCACAGTTGTCGAATATTTCACAATCAAATATCTTTCGTTTTTAAATATGATAAGAAATAATTAAAAATTTGTTTCCAAACTTAAAGACTTTTCTTTATAAGTCTATGAATATTACAGCTATACATAAAGAAAGAGAGAGAAAACATATTTAATTAATCGTAAGTAATTATTATTTATCATAATTATTTATCATAAAGCTTCAACATTCTCATTAACTTCCATGTACATGAACAATATTATCAGAGGGATCGACTATTTCTGGCTAATTTAATCGCCAATCGCCCAACTTTAATTTTAAATAATACGTATTGATGAAATGTAAATATAATAATAGCGGTTTAACAAACATAAAGTGTAAAACAAAAATATATCTTAAAATATCAATATTCACGTAAAAAGCTTCATCGAATGATGAAATTTTCTTTAACAAACACTTAATATATAGTATCCTGAATCGTTCCATTTCCGCCAATGTTTCCTTTTATCATCGAGTTTTCTTTAAATAATCTGAAATCAATTTTTCCTAGTTGGATGTCAGGAAAAATTTATAAGTATTATAAATTTTATTCAGCAATTTTCTATTCGCGTGCAAGTGTACAGAATGGTTTGTGAGACTCTTGTGTGTGTCTCTCTTAAGAAATAAATATATCGTGTATTACTTACGTGTATGCCTCGAAATCTCCGGTGTTGATGCTCTCGATCAACTGCTCAGTCATCTTGATGATTTCCTGTCGGCGTGCTGGAATCGTTAATAGATGAATGAATCAATCGGTCCGTGTTCAAGTGTTCGGCACGCCCGTTGGGCTTACCGACACGTTTAACGGCACAAACACAATCGCATGCACTTAATCTTTGCGTCAACTTTTCTAAAGCCCTACACCATTGCGACCCTCGGTTATGCACAGGAACGATGAGCCACACTCGCGCAAATATAATAATTAGCTTTCCGTGTCGAGCGCAGTCGCGAATCGGTTATGTGAACCGGAACCTCGTCAAAGAGCAAATCACCGTATTATATCTAATCAAGACGATGAGCAGTTTTAAAAATTTCAGTCGTCAATTGGAGCAGAGGAAGCTCTCAAAAGAGATAAGCATATTCTCGAGTTTGATATTATAATATAAGTATATAAAAATTATATAAATATAGAGCTGTAGTTAAAGCTATTACACAATCGAATATGAATAATTTCGCAAATATCGAAAAAAATTCACGGATAATTATCTAAATTAATTAATCGATTATTAATCAAGTAAACCGATATGTAAAGTGTACAGATATCATAAGAGATAAGATATCTACGGTTGACTTAAAAAAACGCGAGCGTTTAACATAATATTCAAATAAAAATACAAGACTCTGGTATAAACGACTCCTTCTCACTTGGTCGACATCTGCAGAGCTCTTTGGCGCTTACAATGATTTATGATTATAAAATCACGAGCGTACGATGCACGATCGCGTCTAATTCAATGGTCGTTTTGGTTGGTGAGTCGGCTGAGTAGTGAGATCCGAGAGAGTAACTTGAATTGCCAAATTGGCGATTGAGCAGCGCAGCGCGTGTCTCGCGTTTCTGTCATTCTCTTCAACGGCCTTTCCCCTCAAGCTCATTCAGGCTGTCGCTTCATTCATTCGACAAGCACATCCATCCACACGTTCGTCGACGCACACTTGACGCGCGAACCTCCTGACTTTTCAATCGTATTCATGCCTCTCCTCGTCGAGATGTTTCATGCGTAACGCGTGCACGCGTCAACTCGGCGGAAACGGTGCATCTAAATTGTCTCAATTATCTCGTTACAAACGAACGGCCGGTCGTTGGATTAGTGATCACGGAAAAAAGATCAATTAGCATTTCTTTGTTGTCCTATTTCTTTGTTACCTTTGTATTTATTGCAAATTTCTTATTATAAAAATTATATTACGGACGTTCAAATTAAAAATATTGCCTTCGAATCGCAGATTAATATTTGACTGTAGCATTTAATCTAACGATCACGGTGCGTTCGTCGATGTTACTTACATTATAGATCAGCAGAATTATGTACATACACGTAAATTGTGATCATTCCTTAGATGCCGCTTCAACAGTTAAAGCAAAGTTTCACGAAGACTTGAAAAGTGTTTGGAGATCACGAGAAAGATAATATATATATGCTGTTATTTCGCGATTTTATTTTGTGCGCGCGCGCGCCTGTGTGTGTGTGTGTGTGTGGTGTGTGCTGTACACACACACACACACACACACACACACACACACACACACACACACATTCCCAATTGGAAATGTCAAGTAGATTTCGAAAATCATGATTCCTAAACATCTTTCTAGATCACATGTGATAAACGCAGATGAGATACACGTAATCGCGCAAACATAATGGCAAAAATAATAATATTGTAATGAAAACAAAAAAATGTCATTTTGGCAATGAATTATTGTACTATTAACAATTTCTAAAATAGCACTACCACCATCACACAACCGCCAGTCTTACTACGTTACTGTGCCTGTATGCTACTCTGTGTCTCCTTCCTCTGTCCTACCTAATTAAACTTTACCGCACGTCGGAATTCTATTACGAAGTTAACGATCCCAGTCTTCAATCGATCTGTCTTTGGACGATATATTTATCGTCGTATTAAGCGTAACACACTCCTCTTCCGCAACTCTATATATTTTACTATTACGCAGCTGCAATTATGGATTACGTGAGGATCTTGCAAACTTTACTCATATGATACTCGGTAAGCACTTTACACCATAGATCATACTTATGAGATTATAGGATTCGCTCGACTCAGAAATATTTTAAAAACAATCGGAATTTTTTTCAATATCAATATCATTGTTCTCGATGCACACATAATGTAAAAACGTAAATAAAATCAAAATGATTGATCGAAAAATAAGTTTTTCTCCGTAATTAAATCGCGAGAAATAATAACGCTTATTTCTCATAACAGCGGCTACATCGTGATATATTATACTTAATAAACTACTACCGCTGCTTAATAGCCTTTCAGATTATTATAGAAATATAACTATACATTGTATTATATCAACACGCAATCATATTTCGTATTGCAAATCGTACAATATCGTGTAACGCAGTCAGTAACGCTTCTGAAGAGAGAAACATATTGCGTTAAAAAAGAACTGAAATACTTAACAAAAATTTATTGGGATAATTCCTCTAATTAATAATTGTACTAAAGAATATATAAAGAAGAGTTCCTAAAAATAATGAAATTCAGGCTTATTGTTAGCTCTCTTTCCGGCAATATATTTCCTTTCGCAAATTCCTAAACGATGAAATTAACAAATCGAAGAGAGTACGAATACTTCCTCGATTTGTTCCGACTTAATTTTCCTTGGTCTATTCGTCGCTTGTGTACGACATAATTTCGCACTTTACCTGAGCACTGGGAGTTGGTTGAAAGCTGGCTGCAAGTCTTGATAGGACACACGATTTTTATGTCTATAAGCAATATATACATCCCTTTCGTATTAAAAAATGGGCAAGACGGATATAATTTTCAAAGCAACAATATTCAAGCTGCTGTACAAACACGAAGAGGATTAAGTATCCGTTTCTGTGAATAACACGCAATCTCGTCAACTCTATATGTAGATACACACTCGCGCGCGCGCGCGCACGTGTGTGTAATATGTGGCAACTCATTTCATATCGCACAAGAGAATTTATTTCAGCTGTTTATTACAAATTAAAATAATGAAGATGACAATCATAAATAATACTCAACAACGGCATGTAATCACGAAATGTTCGCGAAAATCTAGCGTACGGAAGTCTAGCACATAACATTTCTCGATTTTTAATTCTATCGAAATATAAAAGCTGTTAGCTTAATCCTCACGTGCGGTATCGTCTAATAGGATTAACCGTCTCCCCTGAGAGTTCTTATCATTATCCATTTTCTCATTTTCCTCCTAATTTGCCATTTCCGTCGTTCAATTGCGTTTGCGATATTGCATTAAGTTTAGCTTGAGTATTACCTACAACTAGCCACGATGTTGCAACACTATTTTCATAGTATACATAGTGCATGTATAAATAAACATACTTTCCATATTCATCGTATTTTTCATTTCAGATGCAAGACGGTATATGGATCCTCCTGTCCCTTCCATGATTCACTATGATTCATCACGTCCAAGTTAAATGATATGCGTGCATGCGAACGCAAATTGTATAAAGGACGATCACGAGATATTTATGAACTTGCGATGGATCAGCAAGAGACTTCGATCGTAACGCTAGTACACGGCCTAGAATTTTAACCATGTTACTTGCGGCTTGCACAGCAGATCCCGTAATTCACTGTGATTAAGCTCTAGCAAATATTAAGAGCATCGGGTCAGCTAGTTTTCAACTTGTCATATATATAGTACAATATGTATATTACATGTTAGTAATATATGTATATTGCGCTTATGGGGTCACCATCACTTCAGATTCAAAATTATCCACAATCAAAAAGTGAATGCAAATCTGCGAATGCCACACTTTTCAATTATCGAAGTGATCGCATACTAGAAAACAAATTTAATTTACGTGGAAAACATCGTGAGAGAGAAATGTATAGTTATTTAACAACGAACCAGTCAAGATGATTTTTCATAAATAAGAATGTATAGGTCTAAACTCTATTGTGATGTAGTGAAATAAGTATCGATCTTACAGTTTGAAATTTTACTTAGGCTGATAAAAAAAAACAATTCGCATTTTGCTCTGATATTAATTATAGAAACTGATCGACACTACAACAGAATCAGATGGATCAGGGGTAAATGTATATGCAGACCAGACGGTCTGGTCATTCTCGGTTACTTACTACTTACTGGCACGGAGACAGCGTTACGTTGAATTTATGTTATGATTAATGGGATAAAACGAAATCAAGGGAATTTGATCCATTTATTAATATGATGAATGATCTGTCTGAAATATGATAAATATCTATCACATAATATTTATCATATATCAGTCAAATTGAATCTACACACTTGAGAATTGTAAAAATTGTAAGAATTATTCAAAAAATTAGTATAAATAAATTGATAAATTATTAATTCTAGTTATCCCTTAATTTTTTTGTTAGAATTTCCGTTGGGACCTCTTAGAGATCACAGACATTTGTTTCTCTCAATTGACACGTTCTACATATTATCATTGTTCTTATAAAACCTTATATGCAACAAAATTAGAAAACTAGAAAAAAATTAGAATTCTTCCTATGTAGAAAATGTTGCTTCTTGAGCTAGTCAAGGTAAATGTGATGGCAAACTATTTCATTATAAAATTTGATTTTTCTTTTCTATAAAAAATTATTATCTCGTCACACATAAAAGGTTTCATAAAAACAATTATAGTCAATTAATTAAAAAACAAAATTAATGTTACATTTTTTCCGTTTATTTAAACACGTTACTTTGTTCTCTAATCTTAAAACTTTTTGTTTACACGGTACGATTTAAATACTCCTTCTTTCACTCTCTTTTTTTTTTTATATTGCCCACTGTGAAAATATTTAGAGGAAGCGGCCTACGCGAGTATTTACAGCAAACCGCAAGATGTGGGGCTCCAACACGATGGTTGCTGCGTACTCTTCTGCGTCGCGTTTAGCCCGCGTTTATAAGCGTCGACGGTTCTCTTACCGTCTTCGGGATCCTCGTCGAGGACGCAGCCCATCCGGGATGCGTGTTCGCCGGCATCGCTCATCTGTCGTGCTTCCCGTTCTGCACTTTTTTTTTTGGCGAGGTAGATGCATGCAGGCGCACACAAGGGCGCGCAATCATGAGCGATACGCGAAACACGTGCAGCATGCAGAAACACACAAAAACACAAACAAACAGAAACAAACTGATAACATAATGCCGTCCGCGCAATAATCTCGCAGAAGAGGAGTGCCGATAACTCGAAGCTTGGTCGACAATCGCACTTACTTAAAGGAATTTCAGTTAGTTGGAGATGTCAAAATATAGAACACACACATTTGGAGCTTGTAACTTGAAAAAGAGAACAATGTTTAAATAGAAATACATCTCAAACAAAGAGAATTTATAGGATAAATCGAACTACGTGATACTAAATTCTCGCAGAGTCAATCATTCTGTAAAATTTTATTGCTTTGGATTACGTTGTATCTAATGACGAGTATCCATTTTCGTTTCCTTATGGGATTTATAGTGCCATCTCCAATTCCATTTCTCAAATTCGCTATTTAAAATGCATCATATTCAAAAATACTGGATTGCGCACATTTGTGCGGATTCGAAACGTTAATCTCATTAAGCATGCTATTTAAATATCGACGTTAATAATCGTATTAATGTCAATTGTCTGATGCACGCAGGCGACAGTTCATTGGCATAATACCGGTCAAGGTGACGTCCCTGGTCCGGTAATATCCCAGAAGACGGAGAAGCTTCTTCGTCGGATTAAATCGAGCTTGCGAGGTATCGGCTTAACGGCAATCAAGCTAAGTCGCGCTTGCGAGTAAAGAGGATAGAGGGTGGAGAACATAAATTTATACGCCTTGAGGATGCTCGAATATCTCCCCGATGCGCTCGATGTTGCATTTTTATGTTCTTGTTACTTCTTTTCTTTTGACTAATGTCACAAATAAAGCTCGAGTTTTGCCGAATAAAAAAAATATATTACCACATGGGATTATTATCGTAATATTGTTATCGTTGATTTATCCTCCGTTTAACATGTTTAACATTTATATCCAACAAGTGATCCATAACAAAAATGAAAAACAAATGCGGTTACAATTTTGTTTTATATTCTTTAATTGCATCTTCTAACACAGATATAGTGCGAGAGATTTTATTAAGTGATAAGCAAAAGTAATAATTCTGGGTGTGTGTATATATATAAAAGCAGATTAGGGGGAAAAACTGAAAAATATTAGAGCACATTGATAACAATGACTTCCGAACGCATTCAATTTCACTTTTCAATACGAAGTAACAAGGTAAGTAAATTTTCGTTTAATCGATCGTGTCAAGTACAATGTAACTGTTTATTGTTCACGTTTTTTTTTAATGTAACGTTGTTACAATGCACATCAATTGGGCGCGATGTTCAAACAGGCCGATAACTAATTAATCCCATTATTTCTACACATTCATTTCGCTTTATTTGTGGACGCAGAGCAGAGAAAATATAATCGTTTTTCATAAATCATAGCAAACATTAATGCCGATGTGTAATTTTCGGTTAATTCTTCTGTCTAGCCGTTTCATAAATATCGTATACGTGATCTTCCTCGATATTTCGCTGACAATGAGTGTGTTTCCTTATTACCATTTACAGTAATTGTATAAATTAAGCTATGCTTTTGCCACGAACCATTATCACCTGTCACAGTTATAGGAATTAAAGTGTACCTCGATCAATCAAAGAGTTCGACAAAAAGAAGCAACTAATTATCGATCGAGCTTGCAAACTTCAATAAGAATTGTCAAAAGAAAACAACGATTTTTAGTCGCTGAACGACGGAAAGTCAATGCTTTAATAATTTGACAGGCAACATCAACTAATATACGGAATAATTAATGATGATCGAGAACGAATTAAAGAATCGTTTCCACCCTCTGGGAAAAAAGGAAGAGAGAGAGAAAGAGAGAGAGAGAATCAAGACGGGGAAGGGAACGTGCCAGATTATCGTGCTACAGACCGGTGGACGAGGAATCCTGGCGTCGCGATGCTATCGGCTCGTTGCTACCATTCGCCTGATGATTAACACTGGCCGGCGACGATGGAGACACGCCGACCTGGCTGTTTTGGCTGTTGTTGCTGCTACCGCTGCTGCTACCGCCTCCTGCGCTGCCAGCTAGTCATGCAATCAACCAACCAAACACGAGCTAGTGTCAACGTCAAAGAAGCCCTTGCACGTCGCATCACGTCTCGTCTCGTCTCGTCTTGTCTCGTCTCGTCTCGTCTAAACTAGCGACGCTCTCTAGATCGACTCAACCTGTACTCCCCGCTCTTTACTCTTACGTGACTACTTACTCTTCACGTTTTTCACACAGCCTCGTTTATGACAAAGTATAAGAAATCACAAAATAAACAGGATGTTTCAAAACTCTCCGTGCAATATTTTACATTTGTTACTTACATCATTAAGATTATCGATTGATGAAAACGTTTGATTTAGAATCTATTAAGTAAATTTTTAAAACAATAAGTTAACTAAATTATATTTTTAGTTACCATCTATGAATAAAATGTAGTTTAAACTTACTTTTGTATGTAGCAAAAAAAAATTTCAATTGCAAAGGTAAATAGCAGATGATTACAGGAAAACAATTTATTTGACAAATTTATTGCATCAAATATATATTGATATTAATTATCACGATTTATGTCGTTATTATTTGTCTGTTTCTACTTACTCTCGTCAAGTCTATTCCACTTACAAATTCAACGAGAACGGACATGGTTAGCGAGATTGTGTAAAACGCGATCGATCATCGCATCGTCTATTCCCGACGCGCGACGCTCGAATCCGTAAATAATAAAGATCCGACGAAAGGGAGCAGCAGAGCAAGGGAGTTGTTGAGTGATATATCGCCGGAAGAGCGAGACAGCGAACGCGAATCAGTATATTTTATAGCCGTGTGACAGAGAGCTTGTTTTACAGAAAGGGAAACTTGGAAAAAGTAAGGGAAAATCGCCGATCGAACAATCAATCGACACAATGAATCGACTATTCATCAGACAGTATTGTTTACGTATGTAAACATGTCGAGGAGAAATCGAGGAGCGGCGCGAAGAAAAACGACAAAGAGAAAAGCTCGCTTTTCTCCCGTTTTCGCGCTTCTCATGGAAGGATCGTCGGGGCTGAGGATTTTATCTAATGTCTAAAAAAAATTATTGAATACGTGTATGAATGTGTAACATGAACGACAAACGAGAAAAGAACGGACTAGCTGTTGGATAAAATTAAAAAGAGAAAGCGTAAACTCTACAAGAAAAAGAGTGCAAGAGAAGCAAGAATATCGTCATAAATCTTGCGAAAGTATACGTTATATAATAAAAAAAGAAACAAATTTGTTTATAATAAATTTCAAATCATGCTGTAGTTTTTTAAAACAGAAACAATTAAACCGATTCCTGCTTCGTCCTCGTTTTATCAGCGATTATTGGTATGCGTGGAGTATATGCACACACGCACACGCACACGCACACGTGTCTCTATATGTGCTCTCTACGAAGAATCTCGATAAAGCGTGGAAGCAGAAATAGGTCAAATCTTACCGATTCGTCGATCAGACCATTAGTTGCACTTTAGTATCTTCTTCCTGTGTACATGCTTATTTCTTATCTTTCGATACGAGTAGAGAAAAAGACAAAGAGAGAAAAAGAGAAATAAAGGAGAAAGAGGAAAAAAGAGGAAGGGGAATAAAGAGGGAGAAGAGAACGGAAGAGAAAGAAAAGGAAAAGAAAGAAAGAAGGAAAGGAAAGGAGAGAGAGAGAGAGAGAGAGAGAGAGAGAGAGAGAGAGAGAGAGAGAGACCGCGACATCAAGCAACAACTGTTCTGTAGAACAGAATTCTTTTTCGCGAAGGATAAGACAAATTTATTTCAGTTATGCTTTTATGATTCAAAAAATCAAAAAATTTGAATAAGCAGCGATCGATGACGCACATTTCGCAGTTTCGATTTATACAATGTCCTTTGTAATTAACATATCCATATTAAGCATTAATGTTTTCGATTTATCTACACAAGTCTGACACAAAAAAGCTCATATTTACAATATTTTTTTATTTCCCTATTTCCATTCAAGTCACAACGTGAGTTGATTTTTGATCATCGAGTATAAACATTGATTATTGGAAAAGCCTAAAAAATTTTTGTTGAAAAAAATTTTGTAACATAAAATGATTCCTGAATACGGCAAAGATATGCTTACACACAATGCTATCAAAACTATCTTATTCTAATGGTCACAATTTGATAATTTTAATTTAAAAATGACAAATTTAATTCGATTATAGCGATTTGCATTCGATAGAATCGTAACCACTTCATATTATTCTCTCAGATCATCACTTCACACGTGAGACCGAAAGATCAAATTCAAAAAGAATCTCATGTACAATGGAATGTTTTCTCCCACTTGAGAAATCGAAAGAATATGTACTTAAGTAATCAGTTTTGAAAGTTTCGCATCCGCAAGATCGGATCATCGGAATTCTGACGATAACCGTTCCGAAAACACATTCGGTTTCAAAATATTTCAAACAAATATATTTCGTGTACAAATATCCGATACTTTTAAAAAGCTAATTGCAATCCAACATTTTATTCTTCTTCAAACCAATTCGCATCCCTCAGCAATCTGACATAATCAATCGGAATCATAATAAAAGCTGGATGAATTCAACATTTTAGATTAATTGATGAATTTCGAAAAATTAATTATTTATTAACAAATCGCGATCTTTTCGTCGCACTTTTCGTACAGTGCGTTTAAAAATAATTTTATTATCTTAATTAAATGAATCTATTCAAAATTTATATAAACAAAGTGAGAATCAAAGAGAGAGAGAGAGAGAGAGAGAGAGAGAGAGAGAGAGAGATTTATCTTTAGATTCATAAATTTAGATTTAGACTCATAGACTTTAAAGCAAAAAAAAAATAATATTTAGATTCTATGAATTCAATTATTCTTATTGTTAGTTTAACTTTAAATATCGTGAATTTATTTCAATTATCATAAATTTTAATCTCAAGAACAATTTAAAAAAGTTCCCTGAGATCGTAGAGCCGCAAACAGAAGACTAAGGTTCGAAGACCCGGTTCGTCCTGTGAATTTTATCATCGAATCTAAATTCTAAATTTACCTTGGACCCCTTGAAGAAGAACCGCGGCAAAACCGAGGGGGTTGCCCGTATTCTGAATCTGGGTCTGGGTCTGGTTCGAGGCCTGTTTGTTCGTCATGATTGCGGCTGCGCCGACTGCTCTGGAGAACGCGGACATTGTCGCGGGGCTGCTCGGAGGTGTACCTTGGGACGAGCCAAGAGCTTTTGTTTCGAAGGGAGATTTTTTTCGAGAGGAGCGCACCAATGAGCAACAGCACGGATGAAAAACGGAAATTGATCACAAAGCGCAAAAAGCAAGAAGCAAATTCTGCGAAGCGACTGTTGTCGTGACCTACGAGATTTGATTATGAATCTTGATACCAAAAATGGTACGCGAAGAAAGAAATGTACGAAAAAAGCAAACCTTGAGTATCGATCAGTTATTAAAAAGGTTCACACGTTCGAAACAATAAAGTCACGAAGCCACACCTCATTCAATTGGATCATCTAATATTTATTATCGAGCTAATTTGTATTAATTGTAAGAAGATTAAAACAAAGCATTATCAAGCAATGTCAGCTTGACAAATCACTCACGATAAATGTAAACTCTAGAATTAGTTTTCGGAGAAATATTCCTTCAGTATTAAACAGAAGCATACAATTACTAAAATACGAAAATTTAAATATTAACAGAAAGATTAGTTGAAAAAATGTGTTCAAAGAGGGAAGGAAAAAAACTTAATTTGGTAATTGATCGGGATCACTATTCGTTATATAGATATGAGAAAGAGAGAGAGAGAGAGAAAGAGAGAGAGAGAGAGAGAGAGAGAGAGAAAGAGATTAATGATGTCGATCAATTATTTACGTTAATTAGCAATGGCCTTGTGTAAATGGAACGAGAATGTGATCTCACGTAAATTTTCATTCGTGCGTTCTAAGACAAGGTTTATTCTTGAAATAGAATCTTAGAAGCGCGTTTGTATATATGTATAATCGGACTATACGTGGCGTTTAGCCACAACGAAAATTCATTTTGCATAAGACATAATTATAGTTAGTTCGCGGTTACAGAAGCAGCAACAATCAGTACACAAAACACTCCCACACAAGATTTCCGTATTTTGCCAGCAAATTTTCTAGCCATATTCAGAACAGACTTTTTTTCGACTATGTATGTAGTTGTGATGAATTCGAGGATTATACAGGATTAAGTTTGAAGATGAGCGTAAATTTATTTTCAAACGGACAAAAGTTTAATTCAAAGCAGATATTTAATGGATAGTTAAATCATCATCAAGTCGAAAACACAGACACCTGTTTTCTAACAAGAAGAGAAGTCAATTTAATTGATGAAAAATTAACAAATATAATCCGGGAATGCGGAAAGGAGCTTAAAATGTTCTAAATACACTTGGGGTCACATTGATAAAAAATTATTGCAATTATAATAAAATAAAGTAATTAATTGATATTTGTTGTAAGAAATAAATAGGACTTGTAGAAGCGACCATTTACTAAATTATTCCAAATTCTCAAAGAAAAAATGTTTACCTACGTAAACATTTATACGTCAACAAATATTTTTACTGCCAGATAATCAGATATATTAAGCAAACAAACGCCAATACGAGGGCGAGATGAACATAAATATATATGTGTATGTGTGTGTGTATATATATATATATATATATATATATATATATACGCATAACAAAATTACAACGAGGAACCGAAATCACCACAGACTCACCGTAAATCTCCGTATACTTGGACGAGCTGGGTATGGCATTAGACGACATCGCGATAATGTTCTAGAATCTAAAAAGTCTTTTCACTAAATCACAGCGCCAAGGGCACACAATGTCATCATAATAACGGCATAATATCGAATGCAAAAATTAATTTTTGGCAAGAAGTCAAAAGTAAGTCTTTCTTGCTGGAAAATATTTACGAGATAGCCGGTACCCAAAATGGGGCTCGACAGAGACGAGCTTGTCGATCGAGCGCAACTCAATTCACTCACTAGGTGGGTCGAACGTACAACGACGCGACGCGGACGTCTTAAACCGTTGCCGATCTATTTTCAAGTAATGCCAAGCGGCTAGGTATTTTTGTTGACAGTACGTCTCAAGCGCGCGCGAGGCGGAGTGAAATCGCGAGATTCATCTCTGCTTTCCGCAGAGAAATTTTCCGAGTCAAAAAAAAAAGAAGAAACAATATGCACGTATTCGTATGTATATATTACCAATAATAACTAGTAAAAATTTCTCTTGAATTTATTGAAATTTCGATACCTCATAAAAGCCTCGTATTACGCGTATTATGTGATAAATAATTTCATCGCGAAAAGAGTTAAACGCCGTGTAGTATTCTCAAGTGCAAAGAAATCAAGACATATACATATTGTACATATTATGAAAATAATATCAACGCTGATAACAAATTGTCTATATATTCTTTCTTATATCATTGATTGAGCTACGAAATATTATTGTGCATTGATAGAAATAAAAAGACAATTACCGTTGCAGAATTCCAAATTCTGAATCAAGCTTTGTTTCAACTGCATGGTTAATTTTACATAAGCTTAAATCACCTCGTCTGAACTTACACTTAAGTAAGTTCCCTGCGTTAGTTAGTTAGAATTATAAATCGAGTTAATTATCCCTGCGTTATTGTCACCTTCATGTCGCTCTTATTACGGCATAGTTGTAACTAATTTGGCAATGTCTTCGTTTTACGGCTGACTATATGAAAAATAATTATCTTCAATATTAGCTGATCATTTTGTTATCTCTAACTTTTATTTTGGTTAATTATCTGAATTTATTTCTATTCGATTCAATTGTTGTGATTATATAAGTATCAACGACACAACTTGTTTACTCGCTTTAATTATAGGTAAGATTTTTCCAATAAAAAAAAAAAGAAAAAAAAATCCAATTTAAGTTATATGTAATTTATAACCACAGAGATGTAAATAAAATTAAAGATAAAGCAAAAAATGTTACATCTTATATTTTCCTTTTCCATGAAGAAGGCAACCTTTTTTGTTTTACGATATACATCGTTTTAATTATAACAAATTATATTAAGAAATTAGGAGAATTAGAAATTAGTACTTAAAAAGTTTTAATTAGTATAATAGTAGTAATGAAATAAATTAATAACTGCGTCACGGTTCGATTAGACACAAACGTCTAAATACAGCGATTCAAAGGATACGTCGCGTCGTTCCGACGTAATGCAATTCCTGGTATTCGGTGATGATCAGTTTGATTAATGTCAATCACAATAATTTACTAGACAATATAATCTCTAACTACACTCGCATTAACTATGAGATGCTATATGAGTTTCGCTTTCGTGAGCATATCGAAAGAGGGCTCAGGAGGATCCTCATCCATTTAGACTACGGAATTAATTTTAAATTGATTAGAAGGGTATCCACGTATATAAGAGGAAAAAGAAAGAAAGAAAAAAACGGAATTATCCGGAATAGTTCGGTTAGTCGAACGAGACGAAAGGAGAGACGGTAAATCCGCCATACAATCTCGCAGCGAAGCGGCAACAGAAAGGGTGCAAAAGCTCGAAACTGGGCATACGGAGCCTCTTTTGAAATTGGCCTTCTCCCAACCGTAATGATACTTGGATTATCCTTTCTTCGCTAATATCGTACTCGTAATATTATAATTATGGATAGCGGATTGAGATAAACGTTACACGCATCGTCGCCGATTTCTTGGACGCACTAGCAACTGAAATCGTTTCTACAAACACGAGGAAATGACGCCCTTTCATAAATTCTTTATTAACATAGTTGAAGATTTACGCGATATATTGTGCGTGCTCTAGAAATCATATATCATTCGATTTAAGTCGCTTTGATTATAAAAGGATTGCAGCGCAATCGTTGACGCGTAATTTTTACCAGAATCCAAGCGATCATGTAAACTGTCATCTTTCTAAATTTTACATGCAACAAGCTTGACGTAAGTATAATCACGGCAAAGAGCATGTTTCTTACAAGTCAAGTTTGTAATTATATAATTACAAAAAAATTTATGTTAAAATAAATTATAAAAATTCTGTTACATTATACATACATCGTGCATAGAATATTCATTTAAAATATATAATATGTTACAAATTATCAAACTCAATAAGTAATTAGAGTTTCATTATTTAATTAGTAATTCCAACTAAAATTACTAATTGTAATAAATAACTAACTTTATATATTTAATTTCCATACAATGTAAATTACCACGCAAAACACAAATTATTACATTTAACTCTGCTCGTCGTTGCGATATCATGATATTGCGAAGCTGCATAACCTCAAGATATCGCCGTAAAGGTTATTAACTGCAGTTAGTTCTTAACTGAGTATCGCGACAGCAGTTAGATGCCTCCAAACCAGATTAAACGTAACTCCCTAATATTATTTTAAATAGAAAAAAATTTATGTAAAACAACAACAATAGCTATCCAGCTATCTATAAAATAAAGATATATTTTCGTTTCGCGTACTTTAAATTTATGCGTATACAATTTATCGGTTATTATTCGAGAATATCTCAGCCGCGACAACGTACAATTATCTTTCTACATGTTCGCTTGGACAAAGTGCCGTACGGGTTTGATAATGCCTGTAATATATCAGAATACGAATTTTATGTAGAAAAAGAAATATTTATTTCTGATGTGTAATAATGTACCCATTGCGTTCGTCTCAATAAAAAAACATGAAAAATTTCATCAACATTATATATAAATAAAATATTACGCGACAAACAAGATAAAAATTATAATAATGTAAAATCAGTGTAACTTCAGAAAAAATCAGAAAATCGACGAACTTCATCTTTTATAGTTATTTTATAGTCACACATTTTTAGATTTTCGCGAAGTGACTCACATATGCAGCCTTTCATTCGCGGTATAAAAATTAAGAGTACCTAATCGGAATATTTCCCGTTTAATAATTGAGCGCGGCTGGGAGAGGCTAGTGCAATCACGCCACGTTTACAAAGTAATGCACAATAGATACGTATACAAGTATATACGCTAATTATACATGTGTGTGCGTGTGCGTGTGTGTGTGTGTGTGTGTGTGTGTGTGTGTGGTGTGTGCGCGTGTGTGTGCGCGTGTATAAAATACACAGAAGGAGAGACGTCAAAACGTCAAAACGTTTTTCAGTCTCGAGAATAAGTTTTACCTTCGGGTTCTTTGGCAATGACCGTGCTGCTCCGGTCGACGCCGCCCTTCTTATCCTCTGTACAACATACACATACATCACGTATACGATATACGAAATATACAAACAATTTATATTTATCATTACATAACGCTTGAGATATTCATCATACGGAATATGGATAAAGCCACGTCGCATAAAAAGCTAAGCTTATTTCCCTCAATTTACCTATAAGATTGATACATAAATCAACAATATCGCTTCCTTATCAAAAAAATACATTGTAGAAGAGTGAAGCCCAAAAATAAGTAACAAACGTTCCAAAAACTTTATTATAACTTCATAAAAGTTAATTACTTCTATTCCAATTAGCATATCACAATTGAAAATAAATGTTTCTGATCAAAAATGCTAATTGTAAGAAAGAAAGACAGAATGTGTTATATTTAATTGATATTAATGAATTATGTTAATGGAAACATTCGGTGAACAAAGTTATGGGAAAATATAGATTGTAAATCAATCATTGCCATATAAGTAAATACGAGATATGCAAACAGTGATAAATAAATAGTAGATTTTATAGATTTAGAAACAAAATGCAGAGATCAGCTTCATTTTTCCGCGATGTATTCGCCTTTGCAAACGACGGCCTTCTTCGATAATTGCATTAATTAAACTTTCTTTGTAAAATTCTTATGTAAAATGATAAATGGCCGAAATCCATGATTAAGTTTTTCTTATGTATTCGACATTATTAATGATTACTAAGCAACACAAATATATAAAATGACATAATTAATAAATGTAAAATATCACCATTTAATATAATTTTAGCATAATAATTATATATAGATATTACATAGTACAAGACATAAACGTTTGCTGTAAAATAATATAAAAAATAAATCTGAATCTCGTATTGTCGATTATAAATATTGATTTTCTTCGATTGAAAGATCGTAAGAGTGTTTTCAATAGAGACTCGCCAGAGGACGATTCCAAAAGGAATTTTCTATTCGAGTTAACTAAACGTCCAATAATATACTTTTATGCCTTCGTACAAAATTTCCATATATGTAGATATTCCCAGCGCCAATCACTTTAAATAAAGCGTTCGTCCAGTAAAGAATATATCGTTACAACCTATGTGATATTGTTTGCTACGTTAGCAATTTTTCATAAGCAATAATGAAAGCTACGACAGAGTCATGCTTTTATTACCTATACAATTATTTGTTACAAATATTTGAAAAAAAATCGTGTAATGACAAAAAAAGTTGCCTCATGTTAAGCACAGAAGGTCATTATTTTGCGCAGAGTGTTAATCGTGTAAATTGATGGCAATCGATTTCTTCTGTACAATGCCACAAGTACTAAGCCGCGATAACGCTTAATATAACGGGATAACAAGTAGTGTAACGTAGTGACGATGAGGGCGTAACAAAATATAGAATACGAGCTTGCGACTGATGAAAATAATCGTGTCACGATTCGAATATTCTATGTTTTTTTCCTTCTTTTCCTTTATAGGGACTACGAAGACGTGCGGTGCCGTTACCATCAAACTATGTATATACATATAATGTATAAAAAAGAACGGTCGTTAGACAGAAAAAAAATCGGAATACAATCAATTGATTAGGATATTGCTGAAGAAGTGCACTTTGCACTACTAACGTGCATACGTCGATAAAAGCACGTATCGATCGTATCTCGAGTAGTAGGGAAGTAAAAAAAAAAGAAGAAAAAAATTGTGATGTGTGCAGATCGAGCCGATCGTATTAATCGGTTTTAATTTTTAACGCTTCAGTCGCGGTATTGGTCAATTATTGGCAATTATAATTATCAATTATTTGACAAAGAATTATTAAAAATGCTGATAGTGATTATAAACTAAAAGTTTAAAAATTTAAATAATTACTTTTGATATATAACAAAATCGTTTTCTAGTCATTAGAATATAATATTTATGAAACAATCATTATTTTACGTCTTCAATTATTCAG